ATGCTTAACAATTCAGTAGGATTTCGAACTATGTGTTAGTAAAATCTTTTGTTTTTAATTTGTTAATAATTGATTAAAATAATTCTGTTAGAGTCATATCAATTTAGTTCACAAATCCTTTGTTTTTTAATGGTTTATTATAGCACTGAAGTTATATACGAAATAGTTACCCTTAATTTTCTCTATAGAAATTCTTTATTTCTCAGATCAATTTAAAAGTCTAAAAAACCAAAATACTAAATGATCGAAATCGATTTTCATTAAAATAATAAATCAAATATAACAAAATCAGAAATATTCAACTTACTTTCCACCACCAATGATGTTTTATTTGTACAATTGACACTTCTCTATAATGTCCATATTTATCTGGATATGGTGCATTTTTACATCGGGCAGCTAACGCTCTAAAGATACAATGTAAAATAAAGTATTGTTATATTAAGAAAATATCAGCATTAGAAAAAGCATGTTAGTGTGAAATGAGAAACAACCATTTCTTGCTCTTTGCAGTTATTTTGTTTATATTAGAGAAAAACGTACACAGAGGTGATCCAAAAACGTTTTCATTTATGTGGTTATTATTGGTTTTATTTTAGTTTCTAAACAACCTTCACCCACCTTTCCCTTTCATTACGTACTTCCGAACGTCTGTAAGAATAATTACATGATAAATAAGTGAAATATTCACTGATAAACATAATATTATACTTACTTATGTTTAGCTAAATCACGTGGACAATCATTTGGATCGAGACCAGGAAATTCATCTGGATAAAGTTGTTGAGAAAATGGATAAAAAATTTGAATCACCTATATATACATAAACAATTAAATTTTGTATTCAATTCATATAGAATAACTGGGACTCTAATCGTTATATATCTACCCATGTTATCAAAATCGCCAAGGTCTGTGCGATTAATCACGATTTTAAAAAATATCGACGATTATATCGCCAGTAAGAAATAGTTGTTTTATTGCAATTCCTACTAATCTAGACTTTTCGAAAAAAACTCGGCAAAAAGTCCTTAATTTTGGCGATTTTATCGCGATAGATCTCACAATCAATCGGCTCCTATATCGCGATAATATCGTCAATTTTTTCGAGATTTTTGGTGGTATGGATAGTGCAGTATCAAATGATGTTAAATTATCTAGTCTATTAAAATTCCGTCATTTATGATGAATATATTTCCACCCAAAAATAATCGTCACTTCGGACGATTTTATCCAAATCTTGGCCTATTGCGATAAATCTCACAATTAATCAGGTGCTAAATCAAGATTAAATCGTCGATGTTGATGACGTGGGTATATACAAATAGAAAAGCACTAAAGTAATTACGATAGGTAGAAATAATTATATTCCTATTTACTATCCCTGTCATTCATCGTACATTAGAACTTTTTCGAATTAGAAATAATTTACATAATCATAGCTAAAAATATGATTTTATCAGTTAGACTTTCGTAGAAGGAAATCATCTCGATATTATCATACTAATAAAAATCAAGCGTTACTGGAGATACAATGGTGTTTGAATTTTCTAACTACTGACCAGATGTTATACTTCTGCTTAATCTTATTTTTTTTAAATAAATATTATTCTAAAATCTAAAAATTAATTTTTATTACCGGAACAAATGTAATATTTGTTACAAGTATATTTATCTTTGGATCTATAAAATCATGACTGAATATCACTAATGTTTCATTTATTGTTTCAACTGAACGTAACATTTCAATAAATTTTTTTAAATAAACAACACGTGTATGTACTTGTACAAGTAGAACATATCGTGTTGATGATGAAAATAAATGTTTATTATACATAAATTGTTCATAATTTTTTCTTTCAACATATTTTCGATAATATTCAATTGTAGTTCGGTTAATAATAATTGATGTATTAGAATTTGCTATTGGATTAAATAATTTATCTTTATTTGTATTAGTATCATCAAATGGTAAAGCTAATGAAGTACTATCGATTGATTGTTGTTGAAGATCATAATATAATATTGTTGTTAATTTGATTGTAGTTATTATAAATAACCATAGAATAATATAACGAAGTATAATACAACGATACCGAAAAATACGAAGCATGATTTTTTTGATGAACACACCAGCCCATCAGAAATACAAAAGAAATTTTTTTTAATGTATTAAATATTCTATAAGAGTAATAAATTTGTTTAATTAATCATATTAAATAGATTCAAGTTCATCGAATGAATAAATTATTTTAATTCAATTACAAATGTTGTGAATATGATCTATTTAGAAAAGAAAAAAAAACGAATTTATAAGAATGTCCTTTGACGTAGGAAAAATAAAGAGTGACAAAATAAATGTTTTACAGTACATTACATTGTTTTATTAAACTAAAATCAAAAAGGCACTTTATGTTATGGAATTTTTAAAGTGGTCTTCGGAGTATTTAATCTTTTTGCATTAATTAAAAGTAACTTTTTTTTAAATAGTTTTCAAAGCAGAAAAATAGAGAATATCAAATAGCATGCTATAATCAATCGAAAGAAAAAAAACTAATAGAATCAAGAGTATTATTCTCGGTCTGATAGATTAATGAAACTATATACACGATATTTTTTTTAGACAATAAAATCAATTATTCTATTTTTACGGAACTATTTATAGAATAAGGACTATTAAGAATTTATAGAGAATTAATTTTGTGTGAGAAAACAAGCAAATGGCGCTCTGTGTTTTATTTAATCATGAGGAAGTGTAAAAAAGAGATCGATTCGTAAAAATCTTCTATCAATGAGAAAGATAGGAATAGTATACAGATGGCAGTAGACAACGACTCGATATAATCAAATAGAACATGATATGCTTCTAATATACATAATTCATAGAATTTATCTACCATGAGAATTTTTTTATTTATAAATTATTTGCAATTTATATTGTTCTAAATGAAATTTACTAATAATAAATATTCTGTGGGATTTAGTACTAACGTTGTAATATTTAACTCTGATACGCTTTAGATCGTTAACTTTATCAATGATGGAAGAAGTAGTACGAGTTTATAAATAAGTAATTAGAGTTACAAACGATAAAATAATAATACAAAACAGAGAGTTTTGCTAAGTTAAAATCAAGTATAGCCAGTATACTAGATGACTTCGATTATCTAGATATCGTATTTAGCTCAATCTTTGATTTGACTCTATGCATTTTATTGACAATATTATCATGAATGAATTAGTATAACGTTGTAAGAATTTGCTGCGTAAAACAGAACATATTACTAACTAAATTCATCGTGTAGATCAGTTAACTTTTGAGATACGTGCTTTATCTCTTTACATACAAACGTATCATTTTTATTAGTATACTCATTTTACAAGAAAATAATTTGACAGAAAATATTCATATTCATTTTTTGCCTGTATATTGTCAAAGGATATTTAATAAATTTAGAACGAAATTTTAAAGATATACTTATGAGAAAAGATGTCACTAAACAAAGATCCAATACTATTCTTGAATGACTCATCAGCTGTCTCTTTTTTAACTTCTTTTTTCATAAATTTTTCCAGATGTGTCCAGCTATCAATTCTAGGTAAGAAAAACAATGAATACTTTATAATTATTCGAACAATTAACATAAATTTTAGTTATCAAGTTACTATTACACCAGGTGCATATGTTTGTGAAGAACGTCTTCAATTAGTTGGTGAAATTTCAATTGGTATATAATCGAAAAATTGATTCATATTTCTGAAAATATTGTATTCTAGGAGCCAAAACAATTATTCATCCAGGTGTAAGTATAATTGCTGAGGCTGGTCCGATTTTTATTGGTGATGGAAATCTTATTGAAGAACAATGTGTTATTGCTAATCGGTAATTAAAACAATTGTTATATATTGAAGTTATTTTGTCAGAAAGAAAAAAGATATTTTTTTGTACTGTAGATTTCCACCTGGTAGTGATAAAGACCAAATGAATCAAGTTGTTATGATTATAGGAAATAATAATGTTTTTGAAGTTGGTTCACGTATGTTATTTAATTATAAATAATATTTTGTTACTTACTTACTTATTTATTTATAGAATGTGAAGCTCTTAAAGTTGGTGACAATAATATACTTGAATGTAAAGGTATGATGATGAAAATTACTTGAATTTATTTCTTAATAAACTAAGGAAAATTAATTTAGCTCAAGTTGGTCGTAGTGTTACATTAACAAGTGGTTGCGTTATTGGATCAAAATGTTCACTGACAACAAATGAAGTCTTACCAGAAAATACAGTTGTATTCGGTAGTGATCATCAACGGCGTACGATGCCCGATCGACCAGCTGTATATATATTATTTTTTCTTTATTGATAAGATCATTAAAAACAATATCTGTTTTTTATATTAATAGTTTCAAACTCATCAACTTGATTTTCTTGCACGTATTTTACCAACATCACATTATGTTCTTAAACATGGTACAAAAAGTCACACACCAGCAGCTACATGAACTATTTTCTTTACTTCTATCTTATATTTTAAAAAAAAAATTTTTTTTGTTTATGTTCGAGATAAGTCTTCTTTGTTTTTATGGTTCTGATAATACTTTATTGGATTTTGGATCTCACCTTTTTTTCTAATACGGGATAAATGGCATATTACTCTTTTTCAACCACATATTCTCTTTTTTTTCCTATTCATTAGTACGATATTTATACATGATAAGATATCATAGCATCATGTCGACATCTGTGTGTGATATACTCGACAAATTGTCTGTGATCCATCATGAACAAGAAAATAAAGATGGATGAAATTAGAGTATAGCCTTGCGTATGAGTTATTTTTCTTCTGTTCTAATATTATTCCTCATTTTTCTTGCACCGCCTATAATGATGTTGTACTCTATAAGCATGAATTAGCGTCACCGAGATATCAACAAATGATGAATGATTATTGATCTTGTGCAAAAAAAAATAATATAAAAGAAAATTTTTTCTAATGGATTTTCGTCGTTTCACAATGACGAATCCTACTGTGCTGTTCTCTAGTATAGCACACGAAGCATGGGGTCATAAAATTACTGATGAAGAAGAAGAAGATGAAAATGATGAACATCAAATCGATGAACATAATGCAAGTATACGAGCTCGACGTCGATTCAGAGTAAGTAAATATATATAGTATTATACTGATTTTTATTATATTAAAAACTATTAATCGAGTTGTCTCGAGTGTTAAAGATAAAAAGAAATGTCACACAGTTCTTATCGGATTGTCTGTTGCTAGAGAAATCATACGATATGAATCAGTCAAAGTCTCTCGAGAAACATAAATACTATTCAAAGTTAATGTGAATATAAATTGCTTTTATGACCATTATTTACGGCAATATTTCTATTCTAATGTGTTATTCTTAACTATCAATATTTGTTCTTTCTTTTTTCACAGATAGGAAATAAAAGAAAATCTCGTATTGTAGCTTATATGTCTATATATATATATGCGTTTCCAAATAGCTTCTTTGTATGTCACATATGGCTGTTACGGATTCTTTGAAAGTATTAACAAAGAAAATGCCAATAAGTGTTAACGTGTCTAACGGCATCAAAAATCTTTATTGCCTATTTCGAGTAAAGAGAATCGTTCGGTCGATCGATCGATGATATTTATTTTATTAATAATAACTAAACAAAGACGACCTTGACATCCCAATTCTGATCATATTAATTCGATACAAAACAGTCCACTACACACTAATAGGCTGTATATTTGCCACAGAAATATACATAAGAATGTAAAAAAAAAAAAGATAACAGAAACGTTTGGGAATGATAATAACAGGAAAACGCATTAGAAATGCCATCTGCACAGATTTGCAGCAAGACAAAGGTCTGAAAAGATAAAGAAATAAGTAGTATAATCATTAATAATTATA